ATGCTTAACATTTCTCAAGCAGAAATAATCGAAGAAAAAAAATTCAACTCTAGGGTTGCAATATTGAAGGATTATATGGGTAAAATACTGAATGACATAGAAAGCATCAAAAGAAGATGGAAGGAATACACAGAGTTATTGTACCAAAAAGAACTGGTCAATGTTCAATCATTTCAAGAGGTACCATATGATCAAGAACCAGTGGCACTGAAGGATGAAGTCCAAGCTGCATTGCAGGCAATGGTGAAAAAAGGACCTCAGGAATTGACAGAATACAAATGGAAATTATTCAATAAACTGATGTACCACTACAGGTGACCACTTATCTGTGCCAAGGAATTTAGAAGACAGGTACCTGGTCAAATGATTGGAAGAGATCCATATTGTGCCCATTCCAAAGAAAGGCACAGGTGTTTATGGTGGGAAGGGACACAAAGACCGCTTCTAATAGAAATCTCAGTGCTTCCGACAATACTGGGAATTCAACCAACCCATGTTTAGAAGTTAAGAGAGTATTTGAAATGGAAGAATTCTTACATTTACAAATATCATAACCTCCATAATCTGGCCTGAGGCATGCTTTCTGATCTCTGGTTTTTGCGCATGCTATTCTGGCTATCTAGAAAGTTATTCCTCCTTTTTCTGTTTATTGAAACCCTACCCACAATTCTTCCAGCTCAAATGCTTGATTGTATCTCTAATGATCACATACTTCTTTTCCATATGATTCCTCTCAATGCCTATAACCACGGTGGGAGAATTGGTATTAATTTCAATGCCAAATTAACCTATTCCTTGTGCAGTATCTTCCACTCAGAATACACACATCAAATTTTAGGTGAATGATGAATTAATTTAATAATGTTCATATATATTACAGAAAAGGTAATGAAAGGCTGTTTTCCTCCTAGGGACTTAGGTTCACAGTCTCAGGAGACATCTAGGCATAACATAGTCCACAAAGACAGTGTCCTATCTTTTACTCTGGTGAGCAGCAAGTGGGGTATTAAAAGTTGAAGAACAGCCATCTAAGAGACAACCATTGGTGTCGCCCTTTCTGGAAGAAAGAAAAGTGAAGAAAATCAAAGGTACAAGAAAACTATTAATTCAAAGGACTAATGGATCCCATGAACATTAGCCTCTACAACCCTGAGACTTGAAGAACTAGATGATGCCTTCATCTGTAAAATTAGTACATCTGTTTGCAAGTCATTACAGGTTATGTGCAAGATCTCTAGAACAAGTCTGGATATACAATGCATTTTAGCAAGTGACCTATACTATTTTCAGCATTTTTGTGCACAACTCACAAAGTAGATTTGACTTCAATATTCCAGAATACTGATGGAATGCCCTCTTAGAAAAAAAATTTTTTTTTATTCTCTATAGTATTTTCTTTTTAAAAATAAACTCATTTTTAACGAATCAAGTTTTGATACTATACAGTCTTAAATCAGGCTGTGGTGCTATAGGATAAGCTCTGGGTTGCTAACCGGCCATGTGCTCCTCAGAACCCTATACAGGATCACTATGAGTCAGAACTGACTTGACGGCATTTAACAACAACACAACAACTACAAAGTAGGTGGTTCAAACCCAGCAGTCTCTCTTTGGGAAAAAGAGGAGAATGTTCCCATGAAGATTTATATGGAAAGCCTAAGGAGCAATTCTACTCTGTCTTATATAGGATTGCTATGAGTAGGAGCTCTGGGAGTGTAGTGGGTATGAGTCGGGCTACTAACCTCAAGGTCAGCAGTTTGAAATTACTAGCCACTCTGTGAGAGAAAGATGAGGCTTTCTGCTCCCATAAAGATTTACAGCCTCAGAAACCTCGGAACCGACTCCACAGCACACCAGCACCACCACTACAAGTAGATGACAGTGCGTTTGGTTTTGAAACTGGAAATGAAGGTCTCTAGCCGATATAAACAGTTTGATCCCATTTACTGAGACCTAAAGGCTGGCCGTTTGAACCCACCAGCAGCTCTGTGGAAGAAAGGCCTGGTGAACTGCTTCTTGAAAGATGACAGCCAAGAAAACGCTATGAGAAGTTCTACCTTGTTAAGATAGAGGGTCTTCAAGAATCAGAATTGACTCAATGGCACAGGTTTTTGCCTTCATGCGGAAATAGTTGTATAAATAAGCAGAATGTCAGGGTGAAAATTAATATACAAATATGACTTGTAAAAATAGAAAGATATTACATAACAAGGTAAAATAAGACCCAAATGTTTGAGCTGATTTCTCCATTTTTTCAAAATTTAGTGTATCTGACTGATATTTTTTAGCACATAATGATTTCCTTTCAACTGCTGAAGCAGCTGTTTAAGATTTAATCATGCAAACAATATTCTTGCCACAGAATTTTTAAAAACTTTTTGGGGAAAAAAATTTAAAAGTAATGCAGTGGTGCATGATCTTGCTGTCCAAATTATAAAACACACAGTGTTTAAAATACATCTTACCAGACAGAAGGGGCAGTATATGCTTACATGTAGGGGAAATGCCATGATAACTCAAAGATCTTAATAATACTGTAAGAACAATAAGTAAAAGCACATACAATTATAAAAAGAAAATTAGATATAAAGGAAAAACCACCTTAGTTATTAAAAAAAAAGGAGGAATTTTATAGTCTCTGCTTCATCAGCTGTGAGCGTGGTGGGGAAAAGCATTATATGACAATCTTGTCTCTTCGATTTTCCATTCTGGGGCTCAGCTCATAATTTTAAAAGCTTTCAGTCAAAATATATGTGATCTTGTGGTAGACTAATGAAGACTGAACTCCTAGTGTGGTACTTTGTGCAAAACACAAAGTCAGCAGTTCAAACCCACCAGCTGCTCCTTGGAAACCCTATATAGGGTTGCTATGAATTGGAATCAACTCAACAGCACCTAACAACAACAATGAAGACTAGATTTTGAGTTCCAGAAACATAAAATCTATAACATGGCAATATTTTCTTCTTTTCAATATAATCACCTCAAACTCTGCTAATTATAAACTCTAAATCCCTCTGGCCTATTAATCATGTTAATAATTAACATTTGTTAAATTCTTACTCTATACTGGCACTTTTTCTATGTGGTTATCATATCATAATTCAGTTATTCCTCATATTAATTTTATGCCATAGGTTAATATGATCAATCAATAAACCCATTTTAGAGGGTAAAACAAAGTAACAGAGAAATTTCAAAACAAAGGGTTAAATAGTTTCCTCAAGTTCAATCAGCAAGAGGCAGAACCAGGACTAAACTCTGCAAAATCAGGCTCCGGAGCATCACTGTCCCACAGAAATATAATGGGATCTACGTATATAATTTTGAATTTTTCAATAGTCACGTAAAAAAAAGGGGTGTGTGTGTGTATGGTGGCTCTGTATGATAAGCATTGAAAACCACAAAGTCAGACCTTTGAGCCCACAAGCCATTCTGTGGAAGATGAGGCTTTCCGCTCCCATAAAGATTTATAGCTTCAAAACCCAATACAAGGTCACTAGGAGTCAGACTGATTAAACAGCACTTAACAACATTAAAATACAAAAAGAGGCAGATGATTTTACTAAATCAATTTACAAACTAAGTTTACTAAATAAAATTTGCAGAGGGTGTGGTGCCGTGTGTTAATGTGCTGGACTGCAAGGTCAGTTTGAACCCAAGGATGGCAGTTCAAACACACCAGCAAAACCCTAGACAGGGTCGCTATGAATCAGAGCCAACCCGTTGGCACTTAACAATAACATATTTTATTAATCAAATATATTCCAATTATCAAATGTTATAAAAGGTATTCATTAGATAGGTAACTTTTGTTGTGCCAACTCTTCAAAGTCCTGCGTATTTCACACTTTGAGCACATCTCAATTTGGACTAGTGGCCACGTTCAGCAGCCACACATGGCCAGGCCAGTACTCTTATATTGGGTAGTGCAGCTCTTTGGCCTGCTCCCTAAACTGTTACATTGTTCCAGAAAGGAACCTAAGAAACTTTTGTTGTCACTGCTATATATATTTTTTCAAAATAGTTTTTTAAAAAAACAAAAACCGTACCCTGCCAGCATTTCACCTAGTTGATTTTTTCCTGCCCTAGCTTGAGAGTAGGGCAGACAAAAAAAGTTCATCTTGTTGGAGAAGCAAATCCCTTTGGTATGTGTAACCTTTTGTTCCAGACTATCTTCCAAGGATGCTTGTGTAGCAAACACCCTTGGAGCACAGAAATAGGGACTCTCTCAGGGCAGAGGGTAGATCTGTTTCCTCAACAGCGTAATGAGAAGAAAAAAAGTCTGAACTCCAGTCACAGCAATTCATCTCGTATGCCGTAAAAAAAAAAAAAAAAAAAAAAGATTAGGCAGCTTGCCAGCAGCCCATCCTTAGAAGACTGAGGTGTTCCTAATCTTGATGTTCTTTGGCTATTACAAAACACAAACTGTGTATTCCTTTCTGATCACATCCATGGGACTAAGGGGGGTCAAGAAGGAACTAATACAAACATGAGTCAAAATCCTCTGCCTCTGCTGCAGGTGCCTCATGTCTTCAGCCAGCACATATGAAACTGGAAGGTTAGCTTGTTAGCTTAAAAACTGGGCAAAGTCTCAGATACTTTGCAGTGCCTGATACACACCTTTATTGTGTTGATCTTTCAGATCAAGAACTTTTGTTTTCTAAATTTACAACCAAGATCAAATTATTTTACTGTTTTAGGATTAAAGTATCTAAAAATGGCAAGAAAAGTTTGATAGTGTTTTCCCTGCCATTGTTATTGTTGTTTCATGCTGTCGAGTTGATTCTGACTCATAGTGACCCATATAGAGTTTTCTGAGGAGCGGCTGGTGGATTTGAACCACCACCTTGTGGTTAACAGTTCAGAGTTTATCCTACAGCATCACACCAAGACTATTCCTACTTGCTTGTCAAACCTTCATTTAAATTCCTTCGCCACAGCAAGTATTTCACCAAGTTATTTCTGTTTCTTTTACAAAGCAGGTATGCATACTGTACCTTTCCACAACATTTGGCCTTGTCTATAATCTTCAGGGCAAATTCCTTTCCAGTAGACCTATAAAGTAATCAGAGAAAGGCTGTTTAAAGACAACGACATAACCCATGGCCACCAAGTAAGTTGATTCCAATTCAGAATGACCCGGTAGGGTTTCCAAGCTTGTAAATCTTTGCCCACACCTTTTTGTCCTAGAGAGTCACTGATGGGTTCAAACCACCAAACTTTTGGTTAGCATTCAGACACTTAGTCACTTTACCACCAGAGCTCCCTTCATAAAGACATTATTATTCCTGATTTCCACTGCAGCACAGACTCTGGGAATGAAGACTTGGCTTATCCCTTGGTGCTTAAGAGATGATACTGAGTGGTCACAGAGGAGAAAGATACCCCAAAAAGGGAAACACAGAAATAAATCACACAGTATGCAAAGAACACTTCTTTCAAAACTACCGGTAACTTTCCCCTTCCAAGACTAAGATTCAATGGGAATACACGCTGATTGGTGACCACGTTCGTCACCGATAAGGGGAAGTAAGGGAAAAACAGCTATGAAGCTGCTGCGAGCTAAGCCCTACAATGTTCAATAGACTCCTGTGAACCCAGGTAGAGACCTGGTTGGCCAGCAGTGTGGCAAGACCTGGGGACTCTTGGGCCCAGAATCAGTGACATAGCCACGGAGGACTGGAGTGGAGAGTGAAGCGTCCAGCTGATAAGAAGAGAGGGCATATGCACAAGAACATCCACACTTGCAGATAATACCCACTTGACCTGGCTTCAATGACTGGATGATCAGAGCTCAACTAGAAGAAGAAAGAAGAGGAAAAAAGAGTAATCTGATACAATTTGATGAACTTGACCTACACCTATGGATGCAGTAGCTCAAAAGAGGGAACAAATCTTTACAGCAAGGATCATTCCCAGCCCCTCCATACACAGAGTAGACAGGGATGAGCAACTTGGATATTGGCTATCCAAAATGGAGGGAGGGGGGCTACAAAGTCAAGAAGTGACTGGATTACAAGCTTTCAAGAGGGAAGCTAGATCCAGAGGGTGTGAAGGAAGGTAGAATCTCCACTGAGTAGTATCCAATCTGTCTAGGCGGGACTCATGAAAGGAAATGCGGATAGGTCTCTTGTGATACAATGGTGAATAGTTGTTATCAGGACTGATTGTGAGTGTTGTAAATGTAAAGGTAGACATTTTGTGGCAAGGAGGGGAGTGATTAACTTTGCAGTTAATTAAGGGAGAAGAGTGGAGCAGGACCCTATCCAGAGAAGCAGTGATGCCTGAGATGGAGGCAGGGATGATGATGTGGAGAGATGGAGCAGCTGGGGACTCTGGACAATAAAACTTAAAAAAAAATATATCGGTAACTTTAATATTATGAAGTAACTCACTTAAAGTATTTAAATTTTTAAATTCCTTTGTATCAAACTATCTGAAAATGTTCTATTACCAATGTGTCTTTACATTAATCCATGAACCCACATTAGCCCATAATTCAAAACTGAAAAGTCCTGAGACTTCTTCTATCAATTTATCAACCAAAAATCCAGCTAAAATTTGGTGCCACTTTATCCAAAACTTTAAATGTCTACCTAGTGAAGTCATTTGCTCTGACACAAGAATCTTGACTATTAGTTAACTGTAAACCATCCTTAATTTCATCTGGACATGGTAAACAATGTCTTCGCATACAGGCAACAGTTCCATAAAGAACACTGCAGCCCAAATGCAGTTACTTTTGTCCAGGTTGTCACACTACACACCGATGAAGATCAGTTTGGAAGAATTACATTTTTTTTTTAAGGTTTTTATTGTGGATTGAGTGAAAGTTTTCAGGGCACATCATCGGTTTCACATTCAAACATTCATATACCTTGTTTCATTACATTGATTATAATCCCCTCCACATACCATCAGTTAACAGAGTTTCTCTATATCCTCTTTAGCTTTTCTTTTTTTGGGGGGGGGGGACTTTGCCTTTTTGGAATTTACAGTCTCGGCTTTTAGGGAAGGTTTTTACATTTATCTGTGGGTATCCAGGGCTCATGTATGGAATTACTAACCAGCATAACTGAATAGTCAGATACGGGACATTTTGCTATGTCTGCTAGGTGACTAAAGTCTACTTTTTTTTTTTAAGAGAGAGAGAGAGCTCCTTATTGAGCATTTACTATGTCTCAAATGCAGTGCTAGGTGTTCTGCATGCCTTATCTTTATTTATTTTGAAATGTTTTATTGTGAATTACATGATCGTTTACATGGGAGAACATTAGCTTTACATTCATTCTATCGTATATCATTTCATTGCCAGGATTACAATCCCCTCCATGCATCATCAAATACCCTGTAAGCCTGCCTCTTGGTCATCAGCACACAGCCCCACACCCTCTCTGGGTCTAGAGTCCCCAGCCGTTCCATCTCTCCATGTCATTTTCTCTGCCTCTATCTCTGGCATCACTGTTTCTCTGGGTAGGTTCCTGCACTCTGCTCTTCTCCCTTGATGGTCCCAGGGACCTCCACTCCTGGACTGTAAAGTCAACCACTCCCCTCCTTTTGCTACAAAATGTCTAGTTTACAATTCCAACCCTCACAGTCAATTGTGATAGCAATTATTCACTATTGTACCACATGAGTGCTATCCCAATCTCCTTTCAGCAGCCCCGCCCAGATAGACTGGATACTACTCAGTGGAGATTCTACCTTCCTCCACACCATCTGGATCTAGGCGCCCTCTTGAAAGCTTGTAAGCCAGTCCCTTCTTGCCTTTGTAGCCCCCCCCCCCACCAATTTTGGGTAGCCAACGTCCAAGTTGCCCATCTCTGTCTACAGTGTGTATCGAGGGGGTGGGAATGTTCCCTGTTGTAAAGATTTGTTCCCGCTTTTGAGCTACTGCATCCATAGGTATAGGTCAAGTTCATCAAATTTTATCAGATTACTCTTTTTTTCCTCTTCTTTATTCTTGTAGTTGAGTTCTGATCATCCAGCCACTGAAGCCAGGTCAAGTGGATATTATCTGCAAGTGTGGGTGTACTTATGCATAGGCCCTCTCTTCTTATCAGCTGGATGCCTCACACTTCACTCTAGTCCTCTGTGGCTATGTCACTGACTCTGGGCCCAGGAGTCCCCAGGTCTTGCCAAACTGCTGGCCAACCACATCTCCATCCAGGTTCACAGGAGTCTATTGAATGTGGTAGGGATCAGCTCACAGCTTCATTGCTGTTTTTCCCTCACGTCCCCTTATCGGTGAACAACGTGGTCACCAGTCAGAGCACATGTCTGTTTGTGTATTAAAAATTACTTTTATTTAAATTGCTCCCACATAAAAATGTTAACCAAATTCTGTCTCAGATTTCTGATCAAGCTTTAGAAATCACTGTTTTAGATGTTTTGTTACTTGGGTGACATTCTGTGCATGAGTTAAGTAAAGGGGCTCAGAAGACTGGGAGTTACCCTATACACCAAAACAAAAGCACTAAACTATGACTGGAATTGTAACAAGATGTAAAAACTGTACTTTCTAGGACATTCTGGAAAACTCCTCACAAACAACAAAATTTGCCTCTTGGAATAGGTAAGGTTTTGTGTTTTGTTTTGAATGAATCTTATTCTTTCCCTAGTTCACTGATGAGAAACCTAATGTAACTCAACCTAAATGCATGTAAAACAGTTTTGTACTATATGTATTTGTGTACATATCTAGTTTTCTATGTCAAATGATTTGTGAGCATATAAAACTTCTGGTCTCAAGGGTGGACTCTTAAATTTACATATACAATGTACTTTTCTAGTCCTAGGGGAAGATTCACATTAAATTCTGGGGTCTTTTTTTCATTCAGATAAGGATGAATCCTGGAGACATTTATGTGTGAGTGAACAAGTGATGTGCCTTGCCATCCACTCACCTGTCCATGCACTCTTTGACCACTGCAAAATTGCCATCACCAATGACCTTCCCAATTCTGTACTTCTCAAGAAGAGTTGAGGATTCAGAGCACCTGTTTCCATTCACACCTACAAAAATAATAAACACCATCAAGGCAAGCAATCAAGTTCCTTCAGGACAGAACTCCCTCTAAGACTGAAACTCAAAGGGAACACATGAGCAGACATGTAAGCTTGCTGGGGTGGTGCCCATGTTGGCCTACTGATGAGTGGAAGAGGGGAATGAAGAAATGGGCTGAGTTCAACCAGGTTCCATAGACTCCCGTTGACCTGGAGATGAGAGAGAGAAGAGGAAGGGCTAGCTGGTCCAAAGTGCTGTGAGACCTGGGGACTTCCGAGCCCATGGAAAAGGACATAGCCACAGAGGACTAGAGCTGAGAGTGAAGCATCCAGCTGATATGAAGGGAGAGAAGACACAAAAGAACACCCAAAGTTGCAGATTGTACCCATTTGACCTAGCCTCGATGGCTTGATAATCAGAACTCGACTAGAGGAAGATTAAAAAAAAA